CTCCCTCCCTCCCTATCCTGCTGCCCCACCTCCTTTCAGGCGCTCCTCGAACTCCCCCCGAAATTTGGCCCCCGCTACAAGGGCGGCGATGTCCAGGGCATAGACCTGCTTCGAACGCATACTCTCAGGGACCTCCCCCGCCGCAATCCGGCGGGCCAAACCTGTGGGCCGGGAGACGGGAAGGAGCACGAAAAGACCGAGGAGCGGAATGGGGAGGAAGTGGCGATGAGGATGGAAGAAAGGAGTGTATTTTGCATGATGGAATGCGAGGAGGACGCAGACATCAATCCAAGGGCATACACATATATATATGACTATGACTCCCGCGCGCACCTTCGGCAATCGCTGTCTTCCCCACCCCGGGCTCTCCGATCAAGACCGGATTGTTCTTCGTCCGCCGGGACAGTACCTGCACCACCCGACGAATCACACCGTCCCGACCAATCACCTAAAAGGCAGTGTCAATAAATTGATGGGAAGGTCGGTCACGGGCCGGGCGACAGAGAAAGGGGCTGAGGGGCAGGCAGTGTGAATGGATACCATGGGGAAACGAACCCGGACCGGACGCCAGGGCCCGGGAAAAATGACACGAGACAACACCGGAGAATATCGTTGTGGAGAGAAAGAAGGAAGGCAATTCACTCCCGCTCGAGACGTGGAATTAAGACACAAGACAGAGCCTTTGATCAAGAGAGCGACATGAACAAGACGCTTTCGGCACCGCCAACCCATCTGCCCTGCTCACCGGGTCTAATTTCCCATCCATCGCTTCTTTTGTCAGATTTCGACTGTATTTCTTTAAATTTTCTCCTTTGGGCACTGCATCTGGGCTCACCCAGGAACTGCCTCCACCAGGAGGCATGGAAAAGGCCCGCCTTCGTCCTGACAAGAGGAAGGAGGCCGGCGCTGGACGAAGATTCTTTTGTACCGAGAGAGAAGACAATTCTCCAGATGTGGCCATCCCCAGAGAAAGCCCGAAGGGAGAGGGACATCGATAGGTGTGATAATCTTGGAGTCGGCGGAAAAGTGCCGTTGATGCCCGTGGAGACCGCGAGTGAGGCGGGAGGAGCAAGAGAGGGCGTAGCATGATGATGGTCCTCGAAATTAGCCACGAAAGTCTTTTTTCTTTGCCTGCTTGAGAATGGCAGAAAAAAGAAAGAGTAACAGATTCAAATTAAGAAACAAAGGATAAATTACAACGCCAAGCCACGATTGAACAAGTTGCAGTCGCAGTGACCTGCGTCCTTCGACGTCTGGAAGCACAGGCTCAGCCGTTTCCGGGCACGTTGAAGTTTCTTAACGGCTGCCCTACTACACGCCCCAGCCCCGTTCCGCCCTCCCAACGAGGCCACGGGGCGACCGGTGCACAGCGCCTTTGACGACGAAAGACGTCGATGCTGCTGGATTAATATGCTGTCACTTTGTTATAGGTGTGAAATTCTAACAAAACGCACCACTCGCAGGAATCGGAGGTGCCAATGAAGACAACGAAGAACGCACCGAATCCTCTCATCGTGGTCGTCGCTTTGGCCTCGACCGCAGCCGTTGTGACCATCACCTTATTACGTTATCGACGACAACGTCATCAGCGACAAATGTACCAGCAAGAAATTTCCATGCGGGGTTTGACTCGGGGTCAAGTCTTGGAAATTCGTCGAGCGCATTTGGCTAGCAACCTCTCTCTTTCCTTCTCCCGCACCCCAACTGGTCCTCTCTGTGTTTTAAGTGGCGAGGGCGCTTATCTGTATGACCACCACGACAATGGTACCTGCACACCGATCCTCGACTGTGTGAACAACGTGGCCCACGTCGGGCATAGCCACCCCCGCCTGGCCCGGGTGGCCTTGGCCCAGCTCCAGGCTGTCAACACCAATACTCGTTACATGCACCCCACGCGTGTGGCTTATGCCCGCAAGCTAACTGCCACCTTTCCTTCCCCGCTCCGCGAGGAGGGCGTGGTGTTTTTTGTCAACTCTGGAAGCGAGGCCAACGATCTGGCCCTCCGCATTGCCCGCTGCCACGCCGGGGGGTCCCGGGAGACGATCGTGCTGGGCTCTGCCTACCACGGGCATACAGAGAGCTTGATAGAGATCTCGCCCTACAAATATCAAGGCAAAGGGGGCTTTCATCCGCCCGCATACGTGCATCAAGTTTCCGCCCCTGACATGTACCGTGGCCGGTATCGGTGCCGTGAAAAGGAGCCACGGGCGGACAGAGCGAACCCCCCGCCTTCAAAA